GACTAGCTGCTCATGAAGGAAAGTGATCGAGACAAATGTAGCACATCTCATTGATTAAGACGTGCATATATCAATACAACGTGAGGATTCTCGTGCTCGCATAATTTTATATTCTTTATCAGTATTTTGTAGAAATTTATAAAGCGGTTTTGTACGAAGTATAGTAGATGAATTGTCGAAATTTAAGGGCAAATATCTCAATAGTTGCCACCGACCACAGTAGCCCACTTTTTGTTCACTTTTTTTGTAAATATTGCGTTTGTGTAGGGTAAATATCCGGTCTCGAAACGCTCATAGTGTATTTTCTCTAGGATTTGTTATTGTATAGAATCAACTTTTTGGATATCTTGTCTTACTAATTTATCTTCAGGAAACAAGCGATGACCCTGCTCCTTCGAAAGAGCAAGACACCGTTGCGCGATATGTTCGCTTTAACTGCCCAACGAATTCCACGATGTTCCAAGGAAATGAAGTCTACTATTTTACTGGTGAGATCTTTCTCACTTATTGTTAGCTCGTTTTCAGCTGCAAACTCTTGCATTTTGGAATTTTAAGTGAAAATTTTAGACAGTGTCATAATCAGAAAGCTTGTGTACCAATGGAAGTATATATGTCTAAAAATAATTTATCTATTTGAGGTTCGAAAGCAGTAGATACGCTCATGGAGTCAAAATATGGTTCCAAGGCTAAAAACGAAGCTGCAGCATTGTTCCCAAACAGGTTTGTCAAATTTTTGTCATTTTTAAATTTTTTAAAATTCATATTTTAGGCAAGCTGCCGTAAATTATATGCAGACTCTAATGGATTTTGAGTTATTCTTTCGTGCTCGTAAGTTAGTGCCGAAAAAGAAGGATGAGAAGGACAAAAAGGAGAAAGGTGTTCTTTGCTTTCATCCTTTACAAATGCTTTGAATCTTTGTAATCTTTTTCCTTTATAGATTTGGGCAAATCATCTAAGTCTGAAAAAGGAGAAAAGAAGAAGAAGGAAGAGGAGACCGTGACAGAAACTGAGGCGGAGGATAAGAAAGAGGAGAAAAAACCAAAAAATTCTAAAGCAAGTTCAGATCTTGTTTTTATCTTTCCTGGTTTTCCAAAAGGAGGCTCTTAATGCGTTACAAATATAGTTCGGTGAAGCTTACATTAGGCACAACCAAGTGTTCGCATTTTACAGGAAGATGAGGAGAAAAAGAAGAAGAAGAAAGTTAAATTGGAAATACACGATGTGCAGGTATAGTTTTCATAAACCTTCTCTTTTTTGTTCTTATCGTTTTGCTACTAGGTCTTCAATGATGATAAAGATGTATATGTGTGGGTATTTGACCCTACTCCTCTCTACAAAAAAGTGATAGGTCTTCTGATGGGTGAGTTTAGACTTTCTACTGCGTTCTTTTTCACTTACGTTGAATTTTTTTCCCGAATCATGTCCACATTACAGTTCTCGGTACTATTGTGGGATGTTTATTCCCTCTTTGGCCGGTCTGGCTCCGACAGGGTGTTTACTATCTATCGCTAGCTGGTATAGGACTTTTCGGACTTATTGTAGTGGTCGCGATTCGTAAGTTTTTGCAGATATCTTTTCTCATTTGTCAATGTCGTTCTATGTATTTTTTATAGTACGTACTATCCTATTTGGAGTAATTTGGCTTGCTACAATGGGACAACATAAGCTTTGGATTCTTCCTAATTTGACAGAGGTATGTGGTTGTATAATTGGTTGTTCGCACATGATTTCTTCTTGTTTATTCACACCTCCGTACCTGGCCATAAGATGAACAATTTGTTCTCTGAATATCTGTTTCAAAATTTAAACATAGAAGACAAAGAATGAGTTATCAAATAGATATACAAGTTTTCAAAATTTCATTTAATGAGTTCGTATTAAGCATTCATTTTCTTGTTTGTTTATTTAAGAAATAGGAAACTCGACCCATTCATATTCACATTGTTTTTCTCCACTTCTCGCCTTTCCAAACCATAAATTTGCGCGCATCATGTTATGCAGTTAATTATCACTTTATGATTCAATATACTTTCGAAATTGGGAGATGATGCAATTTTATGGTAGTTCTCTTCCAGTTAATCACCATATCGTACTGAGCCCCCT